CTCGGCGCAAGCTGTTACTCTGACATACCCAGACACCTCAGTCTGGACACGGGCAGCACATGGCATAAAAGGCTTTTTCTTGTCATCAAACAAGGTAAAAAAAAGCTGTTAAAACTACATTTTCAAGCTAGTTAGTGTACTGGTAAAATCCACCCCAGTTTCATATTTTCCTCGTGCACATCCCTGTTTTTTCTTTGTACGCAGTACAGTGAAGTCTTATTGCAACAATCACTTTTTTCTTAATCGAGAATAGTGCAAAGAGGGGTGAGCTTGGTGCTGTTCCCCCACGTGGGAGGGGAGGCCACGGCCAGATCCTGTAGACAAAATAAAATCCATAACCAGAGAAAGCTTCAGCCAGGGACTATGTCGAAAAGGAAGGGAAAGGCACAACATGAGTTAAGCGAGGAAGAAGATTAAATCAGAAGTCAGGACATGTGCTAACAATAATACAGTACTATAATTTTTTTATTTTTTTTTCAGAGTCCAGACAACTGTTAAAACTGCAAATCATTTTTTAAATGATTTTAGTTTTTGTATTTTGTGCTGTAAGACACTGTGCTTTAATAGCAAACTGCAAAAAGGCAGTACGTATTGCTTTCATTTTATTTCACAATGGAACGTTTCACAAAAACAGTAGTCTACTTTCCTGTGTTTAAGTGACTTGTGATTCTAATGATGGAATGGAGTAAGTCTCAAAAGCATCAAGTGAGCAGGAAATATATCTAGTTAGTTATATAGTTTATTATTTACAGGCTATATACTAAAAATATGCAGAAGATGCCTAATAAAACTGGGACTTGTTAGTGCCCATTAGTATCAGCCCAGTTTCTAACATTCAAGATATTCTTAGCTTTTTTAATTGTAATAACTCCTACGAAATTGGACCGTGAATATTTTAGGCACCAGGAGATTCAAGTTAACTTCTCTCTTCTGTATTGAAGGGAGATTGGTCAGTAGCCAGGGAAGGAAAACTGGATTATGAAATAGGGGTTTTTGTGTTGGGTATATAGAAGGCTTTCCCCAAATTATGTCTAAGTTCATACTTGCATATTTTACTTTAAAATTCTGCTTTAGTCATAGTCAATGGTGAAAGTCTGTTTTGCTTCAAGATTTAGTACTAAAGAAAAGTGTGCAACTTTATAGCTTTGTTTAGACAGAATATGACCATTCTAACCATTAAGTGAATAAAAAGGCTACACCTGTAGTGCAGAAACACCTAATTAATTAACCAGTGGTATTAACATGAGACAGGAAGCGACATTTGTCCTCACTCCACATTCACAACATATTTCAAACCTAATATTCCTTGGAATTCAGTATTTTTAGTGGAATTCATTCTTACTGGGAGTGAGAAACAGTATTGCTGTGAACTGTTCAAATTTTTAAGAGGTAACCAAGGTCCTCTCTCAAGGCTCTGTTAATGCAACTCAGTTCTGTCCTACAATTTACCCAGCAGTCGTGCTTTTTAACTAGAGTCCTTTCTTACCTAGAGGTACAAGTGCAAATGCCACCTTTGATTTAGTGTTGAACCTGTTCCACATTTAATCACTGTGGTATTTAAAAGTCTAGAAATTAAGACATTTGGAAACACTGAGAAGGTGGGCACATTCCCTACAGCACCACATTCAGCCAGTCTTCATTCAATTTTTGGAGATCATGGGTTGAAGATGGGGTAGAAAAAAAGTTACATAAGTTGCACTAACTCCGAAGATCAGTGTAAGTGATGTTTTTTGTAAATAGCACACCTCAGGAAAAGACTTCCAGAAGGACCTGCACGGTATCAAATATGAGAACATTTCCCCTTTAAGGAGCTGAAAGTTAACATGTATACATGTTTAAATACCAGAAATGAGGTAAAAGAGAAGCATTTGAATTATAAGGCACCGTTATTTACAACTGCCATTACTGGCACTCACTCCAAGGAGTCTAAGAGAAGCATGAACCTGGGATTAAATGCCATGCTATAGAAATTTTCCAGCCCTTCAACCTTCACTCCTACAGGGGTGCGTGAAGCCACTAAAATTTTACCCATCGCTGCTTGTGTGATCACTAGTTAGTAGTGGGAATGTAGTCCTAAAATATGTCATTCCTTTGATGTTTTCCAGCATCATGCCATGGGTGACACAACACAGGAAATAAAAATTAAAAGCAAAAATGCACCGTATCCACAGGCCTAAGGATTAAGTTATGGCTTAACCAACCAGCATGATCAAACTGTTCATCTCCCTTTCATGAATGGTTTAAAAACCCCTTCCTTTACCTGCAACTCTTAAACACTTACAATGGTGCTTTGATAACATTGCATAAGCATAAACCAGATTTCTAGAAATCCTCCAAATCGGGCTACAATGAATGTTGGTCCAACAGGTCTGTTGAAATGCAGAGTCTCTGATTTTAAGATTTTAAGTTATCTTCAAGTAAGAAGACGCATAAAGCACAGGTGAGTACAAGTGTTCTGGTCTTACTCCGGTGTAGAAAGGAGGTCACAGATAGGGCACAGCTGTTAGCCGGTACCAGTTAACAGTCTCCTTGCTCAGGTTGAAGTCCTTTAGCGAGAGGGTAATTCCACCCAAGAAAAAGTTCTCGCGTAATGATTCTGCACTGAGCACGCTTAACTGAAGTTCTCTCTGTTTCAGGGTCTCCATGCTATATCCGCTGTACACGAGCTAGAAAGTAAAGTCAAGAATTTCCTGGTTATCCAACTGAAGTTACACAGATTGGCCTCTCTTCCAACCACCCAGCCCCTGAGAGCAGGCTGAACTGCACATTATGACCACTCGGTTTATCTCTTTCTCAGAGGATGGGCTAAAGTACATCCACATTTTATTTTGTGCTCCGAATGTTAAGTGCTTAAGAGGACAAGTATTTTTAGATGGAAATACTGTTTACATGCCAAGCCTTCTGAATTAATTCAGTGAATCCAAAGCAGGGGGATCTTGAGTTTTAAGATTTTCTTTCTCCCCATCACTTCTCAAAGCCAATCTGAGCAACACCTGCTTACTTGTAATAGTACAGTAACCTACTCTGTTAATTTGGGGTTTTTTGACTGTTGGTTTTTTTTGTGGTGGGTTTGTTGTTTGTTATTTAACAGGGGACAAAGGTTTTCAAACAAGTTCCTTTTCCATTTCCATGAAGATTTTTTGAGACAATATTTTAATTACTGCTTAGACTAAGGGACAATAGCGAAGCATAGGGAGTTAGTATGAAAATTCTAACTTGCCATTTCATTGAAAGTTGGATTTCTTGTCTTCCGGGAGATTTTGGTTTTACGTTTGGATGTTTTGTGTGTATCTGGAAGTAAATATGTTTTTACATAGGGATTTGGATCTGCACCATCTTCTGTAACCTACAATCCAAAACCAAGACAAATTAGAAAACTGGATAGTGCATACCTATTTGAATATTTCTTTTCAAGTTTCTAGACTTTCCAATCAAGCTAAAACAAAAGCAGCAGTTAAGTTGGCAGCTGGAAAATTTGGAGGAAGACACATCCACCACTGCTGAATCTCAAAAGGTAATGGATACGGTTTTCAGCAGTGAGCTCACTATTTTTACTTACCAGGTCTTTAATGTGCATCACCATGATAAATAGAGTGCTATTTCTGTATGATATGGATAGCTTCACTTCTCCTCCCACTTTGCCTGAGGTAGGACTTGATGGACTTGCATCTGAAAAAATAAACAATTACTTCTTCTGTATATTTGTACATTTTCATCAGACTTACGTATGGGGAAAAAATACAAGCCTTAGACCAACCGGTTTCTAGTTCACCCTAGTAAGAGGGCAAGGCCATGGGTTTTAAATATTTTCGCATTCTTGTCGAAGAACTAACTCCAACTAGGAAGTTTAGAGTTAAAACTTGAATAATTTAGTCAACCCATCAGCAAACCCAAGTTGTCACATATATTGTTGCAATTTTTGGTATGGTATGCAGGCACATTTGGAAAGACAGTGACACTGAGTTTACAATGAGGGGAGAAAAACAGTTGATTAAAAAAGATTAAAAAAACCCCAAACAACAGCACATTGTAAAGGTGTCCTATTACGGTCATCCAATTTATAAACACCTCGGAAAAAGCACTACCTACCTGCAGGTCTGGCTATTCCATCTATTCCTTCCACTTTGTCATCACGAAGTAATGGATGGAAAAAAGTATAAACAAGATCACACTAAATTTGGAAGAAATGTTACATATTAGTTTAGGTGTTAACAAGCAGCAAAACCCGAAAACTTGCGCTGAATCTGCTTAAATTTTTTGGACTCACTTCTGCCACTTCTGAAGAACTGTTCATCAGGCTCTGTATGTAGCTGTTGAGCTCCACTTTTCTTTTAGCTGCTACATCTTTTATATGTGTTCGACCAAGAACCATCTTATTAGGAAAGCTACAAGGGAAGAACAAGATGGTAAGTACAGTTAGATTTCATTGTCATTTCCATTTCCATTCTGAAATGCTGACATCCATTTTTTTCCTGTTGGAACATGAGCAGAAACACAGCATGCTGATAGATAATGCCTTTAGAGAAAGGCAGGAAATATTTATGGATAAAAGCAATAGTGACACACAGATTAGAGACACCAAGTTGCTCTTCTGGCTAGCCTTGTTAAAACTCAGCAACAACAGTTTTCTCCCTTAATTGCCAACTTGGAGGTCTAGTTTGCCCTTCAGCAGCTTTGTCTCCATTTCAAGCTATTTCTTCCTCCACCCAGCTGGGAGCAGTTTTGTTGCTTCCACTATAATGGCAAAGAGTGAGTTAGGAACATACCCTGGTAACTTCCAAAGAGGAAAGAGAATGCCAAGTTTGTTGTGGAGCTCCTGGAACTCATCAAACGTTCGGAAGACAAATGTTGGCTCAGCTTGCCCTTCTCTCAAAACTCGCACTACATAGATCTGCCCAAAACACAAAGAAACCAAAGGTAAAAGTAGTAACGATATTAGAGAAGCAACTTAACATAATTTTCTTAACAATTAACTCTTTCTACGATGGCGATCCTCCTCCCGCACACACATCCCAGGATCAATCTTGGCGTTTTAGAGTTAGAATTATAAATAGCCCTGCTGTAACACAAAGTAACCTCACATGCTCTTCCCATAATGTAAATCCACATCTGACAGAGGGATAAAGGTCGTTAAGGCTAAGCTGTCCGCATTCTCCCTTTTAAGCCTCATTGTAAGGTCATACCGTATAGCAGATGCACAAAATTTTAAACACAGCAGTGCAGGATTACATCTAGACACGTATCTGTGAGGCCGGAACTGCTGCAAAACTTCTCAGGTGTGAATAAGGAAGGCATTAATGCCTAATTTTTGTCAATCTAATTCTCTCAGGAGTGCTCAAATACATTCATAATTCAGTACAAAGCTCTTTCACTTCTAGCATTACGCAGCTTTGTTCTACCTTTCCTAGCTGGCATCTTACCAGATGAATACATTTACAGCAAATGCAACTTGGTAAGCAACCTGTGGAAAATGTAACTTGAACTATTTTCTAGAAAACAGCAATAGAGAAGTAAAAAAAAAAAAAACCCACAAAGATGGTTGCACATCTGCGTAGGAATATTAATACCAGTCTTAAAGTGCAACCCAGATTAACAAAAATCCTGAGGGCAAATTGTAATGTTTGTTGCCTCCAGTAAGACTGACTAGGAGTGCAGGTGCATTATTAGCAAAGAAAATTATGCTTTTACTTAGGAGGAGCAAATACAGCTTTAATGGAAGGTCAGAACAAAACCAGAAAGTGTTTAAAAACTCCTACTGGAGTTGGAAGAACGACCCATTTTAGAGAAGGTGTCTACATAAGCACAAAAACATGACTCAAAACCCCATTTTTTTTAAAAAAATCATCTCCACCAGCACTATTTCTGTCCCATTTCCTTCTACACCCTTTTCAAGAAGTGTCTTAATTTTGAAGAATATTATTGGATGCTAAATATACCAGTCTGTACTCTAGCACTCCTGTGGTTGGTTCTCCCTGGCCAGCAGCTAAGCACCCACACAGCTGCTTGCTCACTCCCACCCCCTCACCAATGGACCGGGAGTGAAAGCAAGAAGACCCGTGGGTTGAGAAAAAGACAGTCCTTGTGAGGGGAGGTGACTCAAAGACAATCTCTGAACACCCCCCATAAACAGACCCGTGCCCAACCAGTCCCCAGGCAACAGCCACCTTGGAAGACAACACCCTCCCACCTCTCGCTTTCTTCCTCCGCCCCCAGTTTTTATTGCTGAGCATGACATTAGAGGCTATGGAGGATCTCTTTGGCCAGTTTGGGTCTCCTGTCCCTGCTGTGTCCCTTCCCAGCAACTTGCCCACTCACAGCCTACTCCCTGCTGGTGGGGCAGGGGCAAAGTAGAAGAAAAAGGGAAAGCCTTGACATCACACAAGCACTGTTCAGCAACAGCCAAGCCAACAGTGCGTTACCAACACAGTTTTCGTTAAACATCCATAACACAGCATTGGATTTTGATTTTACTTTCAAGTCATCCACAGTGGGGCTTAGGTTTGGGTGTCAACATCAGTGTGAGTTTCTAGGCTCCTATTACAGTCAATGCAGTCAAACTTCCGAAAACTCTACAGCTCATCCTAAATCTGACATTAGTGCCCAAATGCTCAATTAATTATCTATAACAGTATTTTCTAAATCTCTCTCCATAAAGGGAACCTAGCTGTCTACCTCAAAGCTAGCTACTTAAGGCTAAACAAGGCAAGCTTCCCCTGGACTAATTCTCTGTGACTGAGTACTGAACTTATGGCAAGAAGGAGAGTGTGTCTTGTAGGAAGAAAATGCACACTATTGTCACTGAGTGTAAACAGATTCCATATACTTACATAATGTTTATCTGGGTTATATCTCTTCTGGTATGTAAACACAGACACTTGTTTGATTCTGCCATCTTGTTTAAGAGAGTATGTTTTAGCAGAAAACGAAAGGATGGGTTCATCATTAGAAGGCAGACCTGAGAAACGCAGCTGAGCCAAATTGTGAATGAAGAAATTAAACTTCGTGGCAACACTTCCCAGACTGGACTCAATCAACCTAGGTAAGGAAAAAAACCAAACATCAAACACTACAGCACATGTTGGAGCGCACAAAAGTAGTTCTGTCAATGAATCACACTTCAGTCTAAGAAAAATAAAACCCTATTTCTTACTGTCAGAGAAACAGTTTTCAAACTAAAAGTGATCAATGGGCTACGTGAATAGCATCATATCACCATTTAATAGAAGATTCAGTATCCAAACATCGAGATACTTATCCAAGAAGTGAAGTCTGTCCCAAGTTGATATAAAAGTTACATGCTTACTACTGCAGTTTCCCCAATATATTTAAAATTAAGTACAGTAACACATCTTGTAACACAGAGGAACAACTAAGTTACACTATATACAACCCCCTGAAACTTGCTACACCAGAGTGTCACCCCTCCCTCCCCAATGTGCAAAAGTACTTCCTGAAAGAAGTTCCCATCATACACTGCTATTGAGCAATTTAGGATGCATTCAAAATGCAAGTCTTAAACAGCCAAACAGAATTATCTGCTCTCAGTATTTCAAACTGAATCTTTGCACAAGGTTACTCATAAAGGCAAAGTACTTTAGCACAAGCATTAACCTTGTATGAAACCCATCTTCTTTATGTAATTCACTAGTTAACTGGTGTTTTACAATTATGTAGTGAAACTATTCCATTTCTACAGACATGTTTGTGAACATCCTGAGTGCATTTTTTCACAGCAGAAAGCTACGATTAAGAGGATGATGCTGGTAGATATTTTAGTTTTCATTTATCCAGTACCTTGTAAAGAAAATGGTAGCTTCTGCATCTGTTGTTTGGGGCTGGAGAGCATCCTGGACATATTTCAAGTCCTGAACCCCGCTTAGTTCTGGTAACCCAGAAGACAGCATCTGCAGGAGTTTACAGTTTTAATGCAATAAAACCAATATAATTTTGCATTGATACGATTAAAACTCTTAGTCCAAATTCATATGAAGCTGCATTAACATGCTCAATGCTAACAGCAGTAGCCAACAGTTCCTTACAATCTGTAATTACTCCCTTCACCACTTCCGCTGAGTTAAAAGCAGTTAAAACACTTAACAGTGTAATTTATGGTGTCTTCTCAGGGAACAGGTAGGTAGTAAAAAAAAAAAAAAAAAAGCTTAAAAGAAAAAACCTAATCGCAACTCTTCTAAACAGTACCGCTGACGTTTCTGGCTTTTCAAAGCATGCATTACGACCTTTTGTAGCATATAGAGCGTAGCATTAAATACAATCCCAAAATGAGATCTATCACGTTTCAATTTAATTTAGTAAAATGATTACCAATGAAAGTAGGTTAAGGAAGAGGTTTGCATGTTTTCTTATCAAATTGTAAGCTTGACAACAGAGATCCACAAACAACTGAAAGCGAATAGTGGGTTTTTCACCACCATTAATGACATAAGCCATATCCGACGTTAGCACAAAAGGAGCTCGATCCCTGTTCAAAAAGCGCAGAATTCTTAAGTTAATTGTAAGTCTATTCACTTTGTCATGTGCTTCCTCCTCCCCTCCATCCCCACCCTGAGGTAATGATATCAAATAGCCCATTAATGCCTTTTTATTTCTCGGGGTTGGGTTCAGCTTTGGGCTAGCTCAGATTCCCAGCACATTCACGCGGTGCTGGACCCACGGCAGGTCTCTTGCGTTACCTTACAACGCTTTCCACCCCTCGTTTCTAGGAACTATAACACAGTAAAACCAATGTAATGACTGCATTGTCACCTGACTAAAACATAAATGAATACAAATTTATCTTCCCCTACACAGAGCAGTGCTAAATACAAACTTGCTGTTCACTTTTTTCTGTAAGGTTGGTTTTTATGAGTCACAGTCTGTTCTCATTTGTTTCACACTCCGATATACAGATAACAGAGGTGCTGGCACTCCATTTCTCGTTCACTAATAAAGTTTACCCAACAGATATGCAATACATCATTGCATGAATATAGCTAAAAAGGTGAAGCCACACTATAGTTTTATCCAATATTCCTGGTAAAGTATGACACTAGAAATCTGTGTTAGATGGAAGGCTCCCAAATATCCATACAAAGTTATAATCGTCTTTTCCTGTACCAAAGTACTTGTCCTTCATAACTACTGGAAAGAAATTCTCATCGAGATTTGCCAAATGTATATAGCACAGAGCTAAGGAATGAATGCAGTTTGGAAGCATTGAAGTTAAATGATGTTTAGAAGATGAAATTCCTTATTTCAATTTAACTGTAGCTAGAATAGTAATTTTATTTGAAAGCTATGTCTGTGTGCTTTGACTTAAAATGCTTCCAGAGATTCAGAAAATGGAAATAGGAAGCTAGAGCCTTTTCAAAATTAATTCTATACAGCTAAGATTGAATGCATTCTGGAAATACTGCGGGTAAACTGAAAATATTGGCTTCACAGCAGATAACAGGGATATAAAAGTTAATGTTTAGTATTTTATAAGCATTATAATTCTTAAAAAAAAAAATAAAAAAATCACTTCATCCTCTACATTGCTTAGCTACAGAAAATACCTTTTAAAGCTACCAAACATTTGCGCATGACCCAGAAATTTTCCGAAGTCAATGTGAAACATATGCCCCGTGTTTCGGAGCATTATGTTATCGTTGTGGCGGTCACAAATTCCCAATACATAAGTAGCTACACAGCATCCTGCACAAGAGTAAATGAAATTTTCTGAAGCCTAGGAGGGAGAGAAAAAAAGTCAACTGAGATGAACTATCAGTGGGACAACAGCATTCATGAATTCAACAGTCAAAGCGTTTTTCAAATAGCTAGCTCTGCAAACATCTTTAGATATCACATTTTCCAGCAAAAACAGTTGTTTTGGTTTTTAAATAAATGGAAGAGAAAAGAGGAGTTGAAGACAAATCACAGGAAGAAATAAATATGTTAGCAGTGAAAAGGGTATAAGACTTATTTTTCCAATGTGTTGTAACAGCACTGAGGCCAAAATAAAACATCTTTATTTTTGAAACCTATGTGCTTATATGAGGCCACTGCTCCTCTGCCACAATTAAGAGCAGCCACCCTTTCTCCCTATCTTAAATTTGAAGTACATTTTTTATTAACCAAATAAAAACTCCTGATGTGAATTCTGAGAATCCGTCTGGCTCCTTTTTAGTTATATAAAGGATTTTCATTTCCTTTTTTCAAGTATAAGAAAAATTCCAAAGATACAAAATAAACATTTCAATGGAAGTTCTGGAATAAGAATTTCATTATTCCATAAGATGGTATTTATCTCTTTTAAAAGATCTTCAGAAAAAAAGTTACCTTTTCATACTCCTCCTCTGTAGGATTATACTTGCGCAACCATTCTGCCAGGGGCTTGTCTTTAAAAGAACCTGTGACTCCATATTCCACCTGAATTTTCCGAAGTGTGTCTGAAGCAGGAACAAGCTCTACCATGCCTTTATATGAAATACAACAAAGCATATTTAACCACCTCCTTAAGTTATACTGCATTTTCATTATTCAGAAGAATCTTTGACAAATATGGATTTTATAACCCTAGACTAGTTTCTTTCAAAACCCAGTCAGGCATAAAAATAGTGCTATTACTCTACTACACGTTGCCGCAGACTCTATTCCAAAGCACCCCATGACACACACGGAGCAATCCAAGCCAGGCTTACTTCCCTACAATGAGCTAGTTGCTAGAATGCAGATATAAACTGTACTTTGAATACTTATTTTCTACTACGTAAACTAGTGTTGGGCTATAAGCAACAACCGCAAAATATTTTCATGCTGACATTTCTCATACACTGACACTTGAGCAATCTGGGAACTGACTGCTGTAGAGTGCTGAAACCGAGCAGACTGTTGCTCCAGAAATAAGGCAGTGGGCTTTCCACGCGGCCTTATTTTGGAGATCCATTTACTAAAAATAATTTTATAGCTAAATCATAAAAGGAAAGCATTTGATTAACAAAAGTTTACTTCCATCTTGGCAAGAGCTACTGAAGACAAACCTGTCATTTACATCCATTTTTCTTCTTCACTTTAATCCATCAAGTACTAGCAGCAATAAAAAAAAAAAGTAACGCGCTATGCAATTAAGTCATCGTTCAAAATAGGAAGAAAAGCCATCTGTTTCTCTAAAAAGCAAGTCTTGCATAAGCAGAAAATTATTACTCAGTTTTGCCAACCTACATTTCCAATGTTTCCATATATTTAAGAATTTTCATCATGCTGTTCTACTATCCAACTGAAGAAATATTTAAGTTATTGTTTATCCTCCTAAAGATCTTGTGGTTCCTTTTGGCCAGCTCTAGAGAATTAGCAAAAACTAGCAAAAAAGCACATTCAAGGTGCAGGGTGGTACTTGCACTCAGTTTTTGTGACCTAGTTTCAAACCTAAAAGAGTGTCTCATATTCCCAAAGAACTTCTAGCAGCATATGACACGAATTCTGGGGGATAATGTGTGTGTGGGTGTGTTATAAATTTTTCTTCCTTTGGCACACTTCAGTGCACGAGTGATACTCCCTGACTGAACTGCAGCAGATTCAAAATACTTTAGAATTTCAGTTTTGACTCGAATACTTTCTTTTATCATAAATGAAATTTCATAATCAGGATTGCTAAGGCACCATTACTTACTTGTGGTGTACTAAGGGCATCAGAAAAACATTAGCTTTTACCATTATATTTACTTGTTTACACCACTGTTCAGTGCCAGCAGAACACGTAAGAATCTCAGGACTCGAGAAGAAACACGTTTAGATGCAACCCAGCCATCGGAAAATTCAGAACAATTTAACGTGCTATACTCTTGAGTACTGAAGTTCCTCGCACAGAAGGCTTCTGGCCTTTGTTTCTTGGGCCTGCCTCTGCACAGATATTTTTCATGATCGCCGTGACAAGAAATTGAAGAGGAAGAGCAAAGATTATAGGAAGCATCTGGTTTTGCACCTCGGTCTTTCCCAGTTGAGAGACACTTGAAGATAACCATCCGCAGATCGAGTCCTTCCTGCAGCCAGATCTTATCCATAATTTTAATCATTTGTAAAGCCAGCATATCTTGTCGCAGATCTTCTCCAACCTTAAATGAAAAAAACAAGTTAACTGGAAAGATAACGTGTGTTCAGCAAAACTAAACCTGACAGAATAATTACTTTACATTTCTACCAAGTGATACATGATGTTACTTACTTCCTTGTAGCTATGCACTTAGAAAGATAAATAGGATGCTTTTGAAAGCTCCAATGTAGCAGACTCACATTTTACAACCTGGCTGGACATTGGTTTCTAGATACACAGCAGCAAACTCACAAAATAACTAAGCTTATTGGTCTACGATAAAGTTAATGGATACCAATGAAGGAGCAACTGCCGCTTTTTTCTCTAATTCACACATAAGGCCTACCTTAAACATCACATTAATTTCTTCTCCCAGAGGGTCCGCATTGATCAGTGCGACTTTCAGCGGTACTGCATTGGAGCTGAAGAAAGAACACGCCTACAAGTAGATTTAGTATTAATACTCCAGAAGGACTATTCCCGCTAGGGCAGAAAACAAGACATTCCGACAACAAGCAGGTTTGACACACAATGTGCCTATTCAGGCTTTGACCACTGCGACCGTGGCGAATACGTGCTGCTTCGGAACAAACAGCCCTTTGGCTGCTATTTGTTGAATTCTTGTACAAAAGCCAGTAGTGCTGCACAGTGATGTTTTATACATTTTGAAGTGAAGAGTGAGTAAAACGTGGATAAATATTTTATCACAGCTTTTGAAATCTCAAAGGTATTATTAAAGAAACAGGTATTTGCATGTTTCACAGTATTTTCTCTTTTATCTGCTTTCAAGTACATAGTCATGATTTAACAGTTACACGAGAGAAGGAAAACAAGACAAACTGTCTTTCTGCACAGGATTAAATCCAGTGTTTACAGACCTTTAGGTTCTCAGTCATGCGTGATGATATAATCAAGACTGCGGTTGAGCAGATATTGTCAAATCTTGCAGAGTTCTGAAAAAATGATTTACCTGCTTCTCTCCTACATTATTACTTGCTGGACCTTCACAATAAAATAAAGCTGCTTCTGCCTTCCTGGAACCAGTGTATCTCTCAGACACAATTAGTAACAGGTAGTTTCACCTATTTCACAGTATCTACTCATTGTGTGAACTTAATAGCCTTGCTCAATTTTCTCTTTTCATTACTACTGCAAAAAGGACCTTTTCACATACTTTGAACAGTCTTTTGCTTTACTATAACCAGGATTACTGGTCTCGAAAGAGACAGGGTCTGAAGAAATAATAAGTTATTACAGAGTCTTTGGTTTTTTTTTTTAATACAAGTACCTTCATTGGGTTTACACAAGTTTTTGTATGAATTTTATCTTTGCTTGGCTAAGTTCACTGCCTCATTCAATCATATTTTTTAATTAAAATGCTCCCTGCACTGCATAATGAGCTTTGAAGCAACTCAGTTTTTTTGGTTTGTAAAAGCTTTGTATAGATGTAATTTTTACAGAAAGGGTTTGAAATTCGGAATGTGCAGTACCTTAATATTTAGCTCTTTTGCCACAAGACTGGGATTGAGAGGCAAACGGCATTTATTCTTCAAGAAAAATAACTGCACACGTTCCATACCATTTTGCAAGGCAGCCTGAAGAGAAAAAAAATAATTTCAGCTGGCATTTCCTTAACTGGAGCATCTACATAAAACTACTTCTGGACAAAGTTATTCTGAAGCCCGAGTAACGCCAGAAATTATAACTGCTGGCTTAGCTAATAAAAATATATAAGCCTGCTAGTACAACGCTAATATCACACCTGTTTGGGGTTTTTTTGGGAGTTTGTTTTTTTTTTTTTTAAACTGAACCAGATGATAGTATCACACTTGATCAAACTGTAAGTTCATATTATTAGCTTATAAACAGATATCCTACTCTTTTGGATAATGGGCTCATTCGTCAGCAGCAAAAGGTTTCAATCTAATTTCAGTTTATTGTGCATAGAAGCCATCCTACCTTCTAACCATATCACCTCACACAATCTTATGTTTCAAATGACAAAAAATCTGACAAAACCTGTCTTTATGAAGCCATTATCTTGCGAAAATATAGAGCAATAGAGTCATAGATCTTCCTATATAACATTTTATTGAACGTGGACTAAAAGGCAATAGAGTGGATTGTTCTGAGAGTATACTCAGTTTAATCTTCCTAAAGAATATTAAAAATACATACACACCTGTCGAGCAGATCCACTTGTTTGCTTTACTTTTTCTGCTACCATTCCAAAAAGCTGCACCAGCCTGGTCTGCTTCTCAAGCTCTTCCCTCAGCCTTTTTCCACAGACTGAAAGAAAAGCTCCAAGAATTTGCTCATACCTTATACCAAATTTTGTGTCATACAGTGTATCCTTAAGCAGCCTGAAATAAAGGATTTAAGTTAATTTTTCTTATGGAAAACACTGCAAGCAACGAAATACTAGGACATAATATTTTACTGAATCAGTACTACACACATGCAAAGTTACTGCCTCAGAGGCACTGTCTGTTTTTTCATGAAAAAACAGGATCTACAATTTGTACACTCTCCATTCCTTAAATTCATTGCTATGAACTATGATATTAGGAAAGAATATTTGCTTCTGGAAATTAGTCTTATGGTAAACATTACATAAGCAACGGAACAAAGAACACCTTACCAGTATAGGTAATGTGCTATTCGAATGCTGCCCAGTGCCCGAGCCAAAAGAAATTTCACAAGAGCACTGTCAAGGTAGGTTTCATACTTCAACGCCTAAATACAGAGAAAATTAAATCAGATCTGGATATAATTCTAGATATTGACAGATTTTAAGCCTAATGCACAGAGAGAATCACCACAGATCCACACGACAGTCACACAGCGATTATTTACTCAAATTGTTTTCCATACCATGCATTAAGGTTATCAGAGGCTTTGCTACTGCATTTCTGCAGTTTTCAAGAGTGGAGGAAAAAAAAAAGAAAAAAAAAATCAAACTGCAGTGTAGGCAGGAAGTTTTACCTGCACAAATTGAGGGAGGAAATCTGTTAATTCATCATCACTCAATGTCTCTATCCAATTCACAGCTGTGTTTCGTACTTCCTGATCAGCAAACCTAGAAAGTTACCACAAATGCACAATAAGTTCATTCTGTTCATGTAGGGGTTTTTTATTATTTTTTTTTTTTGAGATCGGCTGGACTGAAAAAAGCCAATATAAAGTCTTTAAGATTTCAGTAAAGGACCTAGAAATTTGAGGACCTTGATTATCTAGGATGCAAACACATGTACATGTTTAGGACAAGCACATTCATCTCTCAAAACTTCAGTCTCGCTAGCTTGGCTGCATAGCTTGCTCTCCTGTTGCAAGTTAGATTTCAGAATCCTAACCACCAGTGCTATTCTTTCACTACATGACTTGGTTAAGCCTACATGAATAAAGTAAGCAAGTGTTCTTTGAAGTTTTAAGGAAATTTAGCTTTTACTATAAGAAAATCAGCAGTATTTTTCTACAAGAAACCTATTCAGAATCTCCTACTGAACAAAAAAGTAATTTAATACACAACACACACAGAACTTATTTACATTGTTTTTCTTACTTTGAATCAAGTAGTTCCAGTGCAGCTAAGGGTGATAAAGGAGGCCACTGCTGAAGTAATGAATATATTTCTGGAAGACTTGCCCAGTCCCAGTGAGGGGCACTAACCAATATTTTTGGTAGGCTACTAGTATGGCTATGGCAATAATGTCTCTTCTCCCACAAAAATTCTTTATCGTCTTTTGATAGCCTGCAGACAAAAGCATTTCAAGTTTGTTACCCACATTACAGACCGTCATCTTAACAACCCCCAAACTCTCTATAAAATGACTAGTAATTTAACCCATAAAATGGAATGATATTAAAATGTTTTTTCTTCCACAAAAGTGGAAATGAGAAGCACAATAAAACCTCAAGCATTATGGGAACAATTGCTCAAAATTATAATTTGGGCAGGACAAAAATAAAGTTTAGTATAATCTGAAGTAAACCAAAATGTTACATGTTAGTTTGGTGCAGACAAGTGGAAAAGCCTGCCAGAAAAGCTGCCATGGCATATAAATAGCCACTGCCGAATCTGCCATTGCTCCCTATAATTGAAAAGCAGCCAAGCAGGAATAGGCAGCCAAAAGGGTGGCAGTCTTGAAACAGAAGATTATGACACCAGCCACGGAAAGCATGAGTAAATTAATTTAGTCAGCACCATTATTTCGCAAGTTTAACTCTATCTCCTGTTTAAATCTCCACAGGCCTTCAAAATATACTAGAACCATATTAAAAGAAATTTAGGAATAAATAAGGACTCCATACCCTAGTCACAAATTGTCATGTACACAGAGACCACAGCTAAAAAGAGATGAACGTACCCAATAGTATTATCCTTCGCGAGAATGGCGAGGAGACGTTCTCTCAATGGTTTTTCTAATGTTTCTATGGAATGATGCACAGTAGTCTTTGCAGCTGGAGGAATTTTATACTCAATATCAAAAGCATGTGATGGGAAGTCAATCTAAATGTATATAGAGAAAGAGATGATGCGAGTTCTTCAGAACAGCATTGACCATATTTTGAGACTGCTAAGCCATGCCTAACAAGGTGCTTTCTCTTAAGAGAGAATTTGGACTCTGAATTTAAAACAAGAGGTGCTTATGTTCTGCAAAGAAACTGGAATTACTGTTGTCTTGGTCTAGACAACTCATTTCAGCAGACATTTCTATAGACTGCTTTTCAATGAGGCTCTCTCCCAGCACTGACAGCACGTACTACCAAGACATCTCCAATTTCTTACTTCAAGGTAACGATTTAAAAACTGACATATACGCTTAGGGCAGCTTCCCATTCTTTGCCCCTAACGCATAGCAATTACTATTCTCTACTGGCTTTCAAATATGACTCAGGAATATTTACACTCTCCCTGAAACATTAATTGATCTACTACCAGTCAAGAGTTCAAATCACAATATTCAACCAAAACATAGTCAGATAAGTCAGAATTATATGTAACCTGCAATACTATTCTTTCCATGTTTCCTTTCTTACTGGCCATCCCTGACGTATGATGCGGATGTGATGAGGTCCAGAGTTGCAACAGCTTTGTCCCACAAGTTAACAATCTGAGGAAAAAAACCATGTACAGGTATTAGTGTCACAATCTGTTTACTGCAACAAGATATTAGTTATTAAAATATCTGGAGAAGACAAATGGCTACTAACAGGAAATAGTTTCAAAGCATTAGTACAGTACAGGACAGTTCAAACCTGAGTACACCTTCCCTCTGCACAGACCATTCGGTCCCCAAATGTTGCCTGATGTAGTTGAGAGGTGACATCCCTGGCGGCAGGGAGGCTGGATTAAATGATCTCTAAGGTCCCTTCCCGCCTAGGCCATTCTATGATTCTATGAAAATGCCTCACAGAAAATGCCTTTGAAATCCACGTTCAAAAAACTATACAGGGAATCAAACTGTACTAGCTAATACAGGCTGGAGCTTAAAAAAGGAAATTATGATCATTAAATATCATATACATTTGTTTCTTTCACTGGATATCTTCTGTACTTTTAGTCCTCTAAAAGACTGCATGCAATATATTTTATCATTCTAATCTCTATCATGGCCTACTACGGTCAGTGGCAGAGAGGCACTTTCTATAGTTACAAGAGTGGAGTAAGCTTTTATATAGAGTAAATCATTGCTAATAATCTCACCCATACTTTGGAAACTTACCGCCTAAAATCAAAAAGAGGTAGAGAAACCTGACCCAAAATCTCTGGGCCCTTTCTCTGCTTATTTGAGTCAGGCGAACTCCCACTACTTTGATTCAGTATTCCAAACAAAGTCAAACATAAGACCGATTCCAAAGGCAGCTGTGAAATCTGGATGGGGAAAATTATTCTGTAAAACAAAAGTATTAAAAGTCAGCCAGAGGAAAGACAGACAGTCGTTAGCTTATCCATATAATCCATTGATTGCTTTCAAAAAGTTAATTAACATTGAAGAACAAGTATTACACTTCCATGCAATTGTATTTCACTCCACTTTATCTCCCATATCAAGATTTTTAAAAACTCACTAAATTACATTTCTGCACTGTAGCCAGATATGGAACGACCCTTTTTGATCTTAGTCTATTAAATCACATTCCTTACACAGAACCACACTATTCCTTAGGGTTTCGTCTCTGACCTTCAAAAGTAGACAGGAAAACAGATAAGACAATGCGGAGCCCACCTGCGCTCCAGTTACGGCAGGCTGCCTGACAGCGGTTAATTGGAGAAGAATAAGCTGTGCAAAGGTCTGAAAAATATTTTTCCCTCTCAGTTATCATATATCATGTCTTATCATATGTAGTTATTGTACATCATCCTCTCCTTACTTCATCTCGGCATGCCCTTCCTTTTCCTCCCCTCTTCTCTGGCCCCAAACCAGGCATTGTCATGTGCTATAGACAGAGATTCTTAAGTACTTATGCATCTGCTCTCTTTATAGAAATAATCCTAAATTAGATGTTTAAATTCAGCTACAAAGTTGTTACAAGCAAGCTTTATTCATCCCTCTTTAAGCAGCACAAGCTGTTCCCATCACAAGGAATGCTGTGACCTTCCCAACTCTGTAATTGTGTACAGGGCACTTGTCCAGCATTTCCAATCCCACTTTTAAAATGAGTAGGGAAACACCATTTGGAAAAATATCACTGATTTTGATCAGGAAGTCTGTCAACACTTGAGATGGAATCAGAAGCAATAGTGGCTTGAATGACCATATTCAGCAGGTAGCTAGGTAGGTGCTAGTTAAAACAGAAGTATTTTAATGAAAGTATTTTATTTAACATGCTCAAGTTACTTACAGTTCATCCCATTTAATCAAGTAGAAGAAGTTCTTGTACGTGCCAACCTTCTTGGACTGAACAGGTTTAAACAGATCTTTTCCATTATGGGTCAGAGAACAAATCAAGTAGTATTTTTCATAACTGGACAAGGAAAAGAAAGTAAATTTAGCAATGACAATAACAACAAAATCGACAAAAGGATGAATTTTGCAATTAATAAACTACTCACTTTGATACCCAACCAGGAGAAATTCCATGTGCAGCAAATATTGTGAATTGGAGGTGTTCTGTTGCAGTCCACGCTTCCTTGGTACTCTTACTATCTTGAGGAGAAATTCCTTCAGGGCTGCTACATAAATTCCTGTGGAGTCGCAGAAGGGCCTCAACTGCTCTTGTTAATTGGTCTATACTCACTTTCAGAGGGTTTTCAGGCTGCAGTGAACCTAAATTATAATTTATCTTTAATGTGTATCTTCCTAAAAAAAGCTACCTGAAAGCAGTTTTAAAATAAAATTTAAGAACTTTACTCACCAGATGAACTCTTGCTAGTGTCATCGTCACATTTTAAGGATACCTATACAGCAAAGTTAGAACAAATTTCAGTACCAGGACATCCATATTAATATTCCACTACTCTTAATTTTGTACAGAAATTACCAAACATCTGAATCAGGCCCGTACTTGGGTTTATGTAACTCATGCTTTTACTCAAAGTTCCTCAAGAGTTAATCAACAGCATCGCAATTCCCGTATCACACAGCAAGTATTTACCAACTTCAAAAGCCTATGTTTCATCCAGTCACAACTTCCTTGACACCCTTCATAAATTCTTAGAAGACATTACATCGAATATTGCTCAGGATATTCTACCTTCTCTTCAGCAGAGATAAAAGTAAGAGCTGTTACAGATAAAAGCAGAAGCCGTTAGCTCTATTACCCTGTAATTTAAGTCTCAACACCTGTTTTGTCTGTGGCATTTAAAGTAACATTTGTAGGCAGTTACTGCAATTTTACTGAAAAACCATGTTAAACAACTGAGAAAAGTGAACAGCAAGTTCTGTCACTTGGTACTATCTCCTGTGTTTGCTTCTTGGTCTGCTAAAATGGAAGTCTAAACAGTCTTACAGCTATGTCTACCCTCAACAAGGACACTATTGAAGCCAAAAGGGAACAAAAAACTTGTAATAAAGAAGGGTTTCTAGCCAAGTTCAACTTCTGATAAAGTTAAAACTCTTCATGAAAACTAAGTTTGAGATTTCAAAATACAGCCTAGTGAATTCATAATACCTCGGAGAATGTCTAGGAATTTTGCCACAAGTGCTGCAGAAGAAAAAACCCTCTCCTTTCACATGCAGTGTGTTAATTGAGCATCTTGTCCACATTAACAACTATCAAAAAAAAATCACATTCTTATACAAAAATGCAGAATCTTACAAGGGGGAAAAAAAAAAAACCCAAACCCACAACAACCAAACTCCACAACATTTTCCCCTTCCAGAAGAACTGCTCTATATTTCCACTGTATCTGTCAAGTGGTCCAAGAACTTTTGGGGGACAGGATGCCAAACTGTTAAAACACCAGCATATGTGTAATTTTCTACTTGAAAATCTACAGTTTTCTTTTACTTTTTGATCATTTCTTCCAACCACAAAACAAATACTTAAAAAAACCCATTAAAAATTAAAAAAAACCAAATCAAACAACACGTTACACAATGTTTAAATGCAACTAGTTGCAATCTTTACAGCAATTTCATTTCTGAAAGCAATCCTATATACCGTCCATGCACATTACTCTTTAAGCCAATGTTCATCACAAGAGAACTGTAGAGTTCTTCCAATCAAGAATCATCTTTTTCAAAATCTATTGGGACAGCATTCTTTCTGGAGCTTATTTTTACACTTTACTTATTTCTACAGCTTTCTCCTATCAAAAAGCAAACATTGAAGAAATATTTGATATGCTGTATTTCACTAAGTTTTCTTAATCTGTCTTTGCACTTCCCTGCAAGAATTTTAGTTCTTGTGATAACTGTATTTTTGGTCTCTGCATTTTCCAAGATTTTTGCTCAGTATTACATGCACTTCACTGAATCAAAGAACAGAACAGCACATGAATCACCACTGTAATAAACAGCAGGACAACAAAAACAGCATTACAAGACTATTTGGCTTTTTTATTTACACACTTTTCAATTTAATGACTGTTTTCGACAACATGACTTGAGACCAACTCTGCTCAAGTTAATTGTTCATTGTAAGGCAGTTTTATAACCAAACTCTCTGCTATGTGAGAGATTTTTATTTTTGTCTGTATGCTCAGGAGCATGAAGTGTTAGAGTTAAGAGGCAACTGCTATTCATATAAATACTGCACAGAAAATACATGATGTGAACTTCTCCTTTAAACATAACTGCACTGATTTTTGAGGGCATGAGCCAGCTGTCAGTCTCCCTCAGTGAGATTTAGTAGCATCTGCTGTGACACAAATCTGTAGTTACAGAATGAAAAAGCAGTATTTCGAAATTATTTTATTTTTTTAAAAAAAAAGTCACTAGAACTGAAAAGGATTTCAAGAATAAACAGTTAATGTATTAATAAAGAGATGTTAAAATAAATGGAAGATAGCAGAGAAAATAAAAAACATAACCCTGACTGAATTGCTGCTGATATTTGCAGCTACCGAAGATTAGGAAATAGTAAATATCAGCGTTAAAAAGCATACCTCAGAATGCAATTTACAGGGTGAGAGTTTACCTCAGCATTTTTAGTCCTCGGCAGATTAACAGCCCTCCTTAGCTTCTTTACCGATTCCGTTATCGCAGGAGTCTCTACACAATCCAATGTAGAACAGATTTTTCTGACAGTCTTAATTACGTGATCTACTGCTTTATGCTGGTTCTAATAAGGAATGTACGAGAGAACAGATTGATCTGATCACAGTTGTGAAACCCAGTATTGCTTTAATTGCTTTTTTTTACTTTTTAGAACAAATTGCCAAGAAAATTTCAGTACGAGATGGCATCTCTCAATCACATCAAACTGTGGTGTAACAATGTGACTAAACGAAAACCTCAGCATCGAGAACTTCCTTATTGCTCAGTTATCAATGCCAAAAACTTAGCAGTACAGATTCCAGAATGGGGTCCCAGGAAACATTAGGAGGTTTCCAACCATTTTTCTATTAAGCTGTCAGCAGACAAGCATTTTCTAAGGAGAGATTAAGCTCAAATTTCCTTATGGCATAAAAAGAAAGTGTAGCTTAGAAGAGGACATTCATCTAGCGTGAGGAAGGAATGCTAAAGAACCAGTATTTCAGTTTTAGCTCTCTTAAACATGATTTCAGATTACACTTACACTACAGCATAGATGTAACGGAACTTAAACTTTTTTAACTTCATTTTAATATATTTTAAAAAAGGTTTGTTGGAACTTTTGCCTTGCATATTATTTAACTTAAATCCATCTTCCTAAAGACGCAATTGCACACTGTTATCTTGGAGAAGGATAGGAAGGGAAAGGGAGCTGTACACCTAAACAGGAATCTTTTTTTGAAAGAAATAGAACGGCTCATCTACGACGAGATGGTTCTAATATTCCCTCCCTTCTCTTCACACAGAAGCCACTTAATTTAAACCTAAATTATCCTAGGTTTCTTGTTTTCTGGTTTTTTAATATAAGCAAAATCTTCATCCAGTTTCAAAAGCACATGTAGAAAATTAAAAATATTTGCTTCAGAACAACTGTTTACTTTTTAACAGCTTAATGCACAGGTTTCCTTTTGAATCGCTTTTAAATGTAATATCCTCTTGGTAAGAATTAGTGTCATATCCTCTCAGTAAGATGTAACTGATTCCTACTCCCCCAACCATATTCCCATGACCTTCCTACAAATGGATCGCAAACAAGCCATTTGAATCAAAATGTATGTGGGAGTTATCTGACAACAATTAACTTCACCCTGGTAGGAAAATAACCGCAGAAGTCAGAAGACGTGGTAAATGTTTAAGCTATACTTTCGAAGCTAATGCTTTGAAGATAACAGCTGCTCTGACACATGAAAAGCAGAACTTTCACTGCTATTTTCTTCACAAGCTTTCAAATTAATCTCAATAAAAAGACAATAGATAACTCTTAAAGTGTCCAATGATGTGAAAGCAAAGGCTGTGTACAAGTTATTTATGGATTCCTGTGCCCTATTTTACCCTGAGTAGCAAACCTCAGCTACTGAATGTGTGCAGGAATTAGGAAGCAAAAAATTTTGAATCCAACAACAGCTGATACTTGGATCTAATCATTATGATCCACAAGGTACATCTCCAATCCTCAGAAAGACTGTTGAAGGAGTAGAACCTAAGTCTGAATGTTTTACATTCCTCACCTGAGCCTGTAAAAACCCACAAGCAAGCTGAAGCGGCTGCAAGAGCAAAGCAACAAACACCACCACATCAAGGAGCAGTAATATCTCGCTCTCTTACACAGACTGTGTGCAAAACCACCCTTGAGAACGTGGTGAATCACCATCAAGGGAATTAAATAACATTAAGGGAGTACGTAAACAACAGACATCAGCTTGTGCAGACCTGCATTCCTGGAGAGGCAAACTAACATGGGAGAAATGAAAAGTATTGTAATCAAGTCGTTCATTTCAACACAGTTCTTACAGAAACTGGTCAAGAAACATAGTTATCAAATGTTTAAGAATTTAAGTCTCCAAGTTACATTGCTATCAGGAGCTTCTCCTTTTAGGACTGACTGAAGTAGACTAACTTGAGCTAGCTTTTGCACTTGGGAAATTGCCACCAAGTACTCCAATGCAAGTTCTTTTAAGATACCTGTCATACACTGAAACAGATGACTTCAACAGCGTATTTTAAACTCACCTAATAGTGCAGAATAAGACATTATTACTCTTTGTATAAGACTTACTTGTATGTTTCAACACATTTCAGTTTTAACTCCCACTGTACACAATTATTACTGTTCACTTTCGTGCAGGTATTTATTACCAATGTATCTCATTGGCTGACAACAACTGACATAGTCAAGATTCATCCCTTTTCCTTAAATCAATCTCTTCCAGCATTTTAACAAAAAAGTTATGTTGCACCCCAGGACTTGGAAGACACATTTGTAATTGTGATTATCAGGTAATAATTAGTTTGCAAGAAAAGCTAGGAAGAGAAAAGCAATCCAAAAATATGTGATTCCAAATTTACATTTGACTGCTTGTTCAGATCTCGGTTTCCTCAAGAATACCTGCAAGTCTTTTCCCCCAGCTATCTCATTAATAAACCTTCTCAGGCTACTTTTGGTTCAGCGATAATTTACAATGATCTTACCTCATTTTTAAGAGCTATGTTAACTTGCTTGTGATACACATCAAGAAGCTCTTCAATGGAAGACCTGCACAGAATAGGAGTTATTGAACACAAATAGAAAATCATAACAAGTTTAGTCAGAAATTCAGCAGTGGGGTTGATTACTAAAATAACTGCATAATATTACCTTATAATAGGTTCTCTGAAAGGCTTTTCTACTTTGTAGAGGTGTTTGGTTAGATGTATGGGTGTTCTGTCATCATCTTCCTGCAATAAAATACTAGATATTAAGTCCAGTTCTCACCTTTCTACAAATTCCAATACTGTTTTAGAAATTTCCTTATCAGTACCTGGGAAGTAAACAGGGAACAACATAAAGTGATATCACCAAAGGGGAAAAGAATTAACTAATTAATAGTCTGTAGAACGTGTACACACTGGGACACAGGAAAGAGGGAAGAAACAGCATTCAAATGCCTAACTGCCGATACCAGATATTCCTCCCTTGCTCTTCGATGGTCTGATGCACATCCCATTAAACTCAAAGACCGTTCTCGACTTTTATTTAACTCTGAAATTTGTTGCTTCTTTTTCAGGCCTCAAGTTTAGTCCAAATGCCTGCACAGTTTTCCCAGCTATAGTACTTTGTCTATTAAGAGAGATTACTCATATTCCTATTATTTGCCTTGTGCAAATCTAGTATGCATTCCACTTCCTCTTAGTATAAGAGAACACAATTCCTAACACCGGGTAGACATACTGTTAGTAACACAAAAAGGTTACACCACAGATCCTTTAACTCTGTTGCAAACTCCCAACCTCGGACGACTTCTGCTGCCGCAGTTCCGGAGGTACTCACTGTCCGTGCCAGATCCCTGCATATGACACTATGGGTCAGGAGCTGCAGTTTGATTTCTGTATCCCACTTCCGACAGTTCTGAATGTATTCATGACTTCCTACGCAGTGCTTACTGTTGGACAAAAGAAAGCTAGAGTTACACCACAAGCTTTTAAAAAAAAACTCACGCGGAATCTTTAAGGCAACCTGACAGCTCAAAAGAAGGAAATGGTCAATCAAGCTCCACACCACACCACTAGATCTACTTTTTACTTCTGCAAAGTTTTAGTACAGATACCTATCCTTCGGCTTAAGCTCTTACAATTAAGACCAGCTGAAAACTACACCATCAATCCACAGAAATGTTCTAGAAATCTGCACCTGCAAAAAGGGTTTGTGTTCAACCCAACAGATGGCAGAGTAGAACAGATTTCTAGGAAGGTGTTGAGAACCTACTTTTCTGTACTCCGAAGACTTCTGACCTCTGTGCAAAGCGTGATTTCTACGTTTTTAAGATTTCTGCTCTCAAGCATTTAATCATTAAAGATATACTCTCCAGCAACTGTGCCACGGAAAAGCATGAGGTTAAATATTACTGAAAAAGAGTTTGCTTACTTCTGTAAAACTTCTTCTTGGCCACAGACTTTCAGGATATAGCTGCCAATGTCCACTTCATTCAAGTCATCATGCACCCAGCAAAGTGCCTGCATTATTATAAGCTCAACAGGGGAACTCACTGTTTAAAGAAATTACATCTAAAAGTTAAATATAAATCTACAGAAAGTGATATTAACCATTGTCCACTCACAAACTGTAGTTATTTAATGAAATTTATAATTGAAGGGAAGACTCTTACACTTCTATAATCCCTTAAGTTTCATAGTTTGAGATCTTCGCTGTTTCTCATAAGAACGGCACCTTAGAAAACCTGCCTCTAGATTAAGAAATTAATACATCATTTTAAAATAGGATACAGCATAGTCAAAACCAGTCTGCAGTTTGTTTTCTATGAGTTTTTATGTGAGGGCAGTCTTTTTTTTTTTTTTTTAATTATAAACTTGCCGTATTTAGCAAGGACTTCAAATAGGTAAGTGATCCCAGAGCTACTTAAAATTCAAAAATCATTATCTGAAGAGTTCAAGATGAAACTTCTCTATTTGTTCTGGTTTTGAGGAAGTGAGTATCACCTGTAGCAAATCCTACTGAAAGTCCTTTTTTCTTTTTCCTTTCCCTTTGTTGAAGGCCGTTTCCACATTGTACAGCTCAGACCTCAGTAAGCATCAGCAAGCCTTTGCAAAAAGCGACTCAGCTACCAGTACTTTCACAACAGGCTCCAAATGCCTTTTAAAAACAGTCTTTTTCTTCCATCCAGCAATTACAGAGCAAAAGAAATAATCTCAGCAAAACCCACAATCCATTCCCTCACAGCCACCAGCTGTCACTGATGAAAAATACGCTTTTGCACCACAAACATTTTAAGTACAAAATTCTCTACTCTCCCTACTCAGTTTCTGATCTTTTCCTTTAAATCATCTGCAAAACCCAATGTTATCAAGCACCTCAAAATTCTGTAAAAAACACTGTATAAAAGCATTGTCTTTTTTCATCAGTACCTTCAGAATGTTGCTTTTTGTTTTATTTACTTTTCCCCTCCAGGGACCTACCAAATTTCCATAAATCTTTTCTTAAGAAATGTTACCACTACAGTGGATACAGAGAGTTAATGCCACAACAATATTTTCCACAAGGTAACGCAAGTGCTTCACCTCATTAACAAATGACTAATTATTACCATCATAGAGCTACTTGATAGCCTGTGAAGAATAAGTACGTGGAATTCAAGAAAGAGGAATGATAAGACATAAGAATTCAGAAGCACTTTTTCACTCAATATTATTACAATTATTTAACTTACGATTAATCTAGAGAAAAACTACTGTACTACCTTCAGAACACCTACAGCAGAGAAAATGGTGCTTGGTAGAGAAAAAAGAAAGCTGCAGAGTAATGCAAAGATAACATTATCACTTTTCCCTCCCTCTGTCTGATTGAAAGATACTCATTCTCTGCTGACATGGAACGATTGCTCAGGTACACTTGTACTTCCATGCAAAGTCTAACAAATGACTGCAAAATGAACGGTTACACCCAAACAAGCTCTAAAGTTTTTTTTTTCCCTTCTGGGTCCTTTCTACACGCTGAGCTGTCAGAACACTGAAAGGCTGCAGCTCCTTCTGAGCAGGACTGAAAGCCACACTAAAGTAATTCCAGCAGGAGGATGCGATCACATGCAACAATTTGACCAAGAAAAGAAGCAATTAAAGGAAGAAAATAACTTTAAATGTTCCTACTACTAGTCAAGTATGAGCTACCTATCTGTGACCAGCTAGAGAAGACCAGTAGTTTAACTGTGATTAGTTTCAGCATCAGAAAAAAAGAGCAGAAAGCACAAAGAATAAAACACATGGGGTTAGAATGCCAAATGCCACAAAACTTGTAAACAAAGGGCTGAAATGATAATTTTAGTGATGTTACCAAAGGCTTCTGAAAGAAGGGATTAAGCCTGTAATATCAGCAAAGTGTAATCTTAAGGATGAAGAGCAGCAACCCTTCCTAGGCTACACTTACGGTCCTCAACATTCTTATCAAAAGAGCAATAAATCACAGCAGAATAACTATAAGGCCCAACAAATTAATATAGAATGAAGATGCTTATGCGTTGAGAGCTTGTTTTCCCATAGAGCAGCCAGTAATGGAGCAACTTCGTGCCTTTTGAGAACAACCCGCTCCAAAATATCTATACTGTTACACAAAGTGAACCAAATGATAGAAATAACCAAAAAACCCACCACAGCACAGATCCACTACCAGGTGACACAGTTTGGGAATGGGAGCTCACATAAGGGCCAAGATCATCAGTCATTTTATCACCAAGAACTGCCAGATGTTGACAGCACCCAGAGGTACAGCCTCGAACAGCTGTGCAGTCTTGACTGTGCAGAGAATATGAATTTAAGTACAAGAATAAAGCAAATCTAAAAGTTTCACCCCAAACTAATGCTCGCGGCTACCCACAGAACTGGGCTAGCTAGCTGTGGCACATCACAACAGTGTTATTTTTGTGAGGGATTACAAAAACTGAAAGCAACTGGCCCAGACTGAGGGAATGGTCTTAGCCCACCACTTGAGCTCTTAAAAACAAACTTCAATTTAAAAAGCAGAAACATACCATCGCACGTAAAAGTTACTGGTTGCTGGAATTCTTCGATTTCTATAGAAACCTTGATACTGGCACTCTCTCCACTTATATCCCTTTGCAGCATGATTGGACTCAGCACAAAGCCTGGATTTGTTTCCTGGTCACTGTAAGGAAACTTGGTCCTCAGTCTGAAAGGAGAGAAGGTTTATGACACATTGCATAGGATGAAAGCAAAATTACATGGTAATAACCACAAACCAGACCAGTAAAGACTACCTTTTGCTCTTTACCTAAACTGTACGTACAAAACACCATTTAATTTTTCTACTCTCAACAGAACGCTGCCCACAATAATTATACAAGTAGTAGTTAGGAAAAAAACCCTAGGTTATAATTAGGCAGGTTTTCTATATACCTTTAAATATTTAATATGCCAGTGCTTACAGGACATATCCCACTTCTGTACAAGCTAAGCTCTAAAGCACCTTTTAAACAGGTAGTCCATAGCATTTACTAAGAATTAGTTTTAAAAAAGTAATTTTTTCTGTACAAAAGACCACAAGACTCTCTTTTCAATTGTTTCAATTTTTGGAAGTCTAATCTGAACTTAAGATACTATGAGAAGGTAGTTATTCCAAGTTGTGGAAGTTGAGAAAGAGGCCCAAATTAAGGAAAATATTTTTGTTTAGGACACAATCAGTATAAAATATGCACCTAGGAATGTACTTTGAAAACTGATTTTTATTTGCTGCTATTAATATGGGTAAAAAAATTTAACCGCAACTTTTTGCCAACATTAAAGTAGTATTATAGGAAATTGATTGAACTTATCTATAATTGTCAGTTCACAATTTTGATTCCTGATGAGCATAATGGGGGAGTGGAGGGCTCTGTGGGGCAGAAACCCTCTAGCAGAGTTGTCCAGTCAAAAGCCCATCAGCAGTTTAAGCACTGGGACTTAAGAAAGGGTAACAACTAAATTTAACTAAAAACCATTGCAAGGAGCTTTGTCTTATGTTGCTCATCAGAAAGTTTCACAGGCATACGAGCTCTCCTTGGTTTTATGGAGTTTGCTTTTCATTTCATAAACATTCCTGTTTTAAAAAGCAGATGTTATCTTTCCGGTTCAAAACATCTTTATTTCCGTCATTATTTCTTGGATTTTGACCTTGAAAGAAAAAAGGCAAGATTCCTAGTTTGTCTTCTCTATGGAAAAAAAACCCCACCTCATTAAATTGTGGCAGTAAGCAAAAAATTAAATTGAGAATGCTCTTTCTAGTTTTATTTAAGTCCCATGTTCTTTGGTATGACCTTTCAAGAAACTTCACCACCTGATCAAAGCAGAAACAAGTTGAAGGTTTAACTTCATACAAAATTCCAGGTGTGGTAGTAATAAAAGTGAGAGCAATTAAGGGTAGAAAGTCATTGTGTGACAGCATCTAGGGAGGTGCATCAACTAAGAAAAAAATACTTCACATTCTTTCAAAAGAAATAGCATTAAAAATTATAGGAGATACATATAGATGGAAGTACAGAAAACTAGTTTTGAGGATAAAGTATTATAAAAACAAGGAAAAAAGAGAAAAGCCACAGGACCAAAAGAATAAAGAGGAGAGAGGATATCCTAAAAACCCTAGTACTGAATACTCTAACAATTCTGTTGCATTGTTGGGAAAAAAAAAAAAAAAGAAAGAAAAAGACAGAAGTGGGATAAATAGAACGAAAAGAACACATACTGAAATCCACTCCAAGCAAAAAAAATGTAGGACTGGCTACGTCAGCCTAACTCAAAATGAGTTATTTAGCTTTTTTCTTTTTTTCTCCGAAAGCTAATTTGTGTTCAGTAATTTCTTACTTTGTAACTGCTTGAGAAAAAGCTGACAATTCTTGATTCTGCCCTTCAATTTCTTGGAGAAGCACATTTTCTGTCAGCATGCCCGTGGTCCCATTGTCTTTCTGCAACTCAAAGACAATACACTGTTTTAATAGTTACAAACATATTTGTACAGCCAGCAAAGCCACGTGTAGATGATAGATTTTTGAGGAGTCTTGAGTTTTTCTATTAGTTTTACTTCTGCTCCTATAAGGAGAAAAATGTGTACTATCACAAAGTTGAAAAGTAAAGATTGACTGGACCATTACAGAAGTTAATTTATTTGACAGCATCATTATCAGTTAAGATGAAGTTGCAAGTGTAACAGCTCCTGAGCTCTCAGCATTAGAATTCAGCCAGATTTTGCTGAACCAGAGAAGGAAGACGACCAAATGCTTTTTCCTCCACTTCTGCGACTCGGCCTTCAGCATGGTCGCAGAAAGAACCGGAACACATCAGCTCTGCCCATGACTACCTCTTCCTACAAAGCAGGACAAATTGTGAGCTGGAAGGGAGTAACATTCAGAATAATTAACTGAGAACTAATCCCATGGTCTCGAGTTACTGCTGATTCAATCCCTTATGCTACACGCATCCACCAGCTCCCCAAAATGTAAACCACAATCTTTCAAGTATTCAATCTAAAATACCATTGCCAAACCCAATCTAATACACTGAAGCCAAAACAACCCACAAACAAAGAAAAACTGCAGCAGTTTTTAATCCATATCCCAACACGATCCCACTTTTCGGATCCAGTTCACAATGGAGGCACGCAAATGCCAGTGCCAGCCAAAAGCAGAGAGCAACTGGAAGAACCAGTAGGGCTGAGGTGGAACTCAGCTGTCTGCAGCCCAGCAGCCACTGCCAGCCTGCAGCACTCGTGAAACTCCAGCCAGACACTCCCTGGAATAAGTTATCTTGAAGAGTTTACTCAAGTCCAACCCAGGGTCATAGCACACAGAGGAAAACCTTCTGACCAGTTACATTTTACACCCAGAGCTCTTACAATGCATATGAAAACCCTGAATCCACCCTAGAGTCCAGGAAAAAAAGGGGCAGATTGTGCTATAATTTTTCTGAAAATCATCACGATTTATTTATATATGAAATAGTAATTAACTACCTAACTAGTACAGGAGTTATTTATTATTAGCTCACAAAGTCTGCTGAGCATCTCATTTCATTAGAGCGTACGAGACCGCAGTCAAATTGAACTATCTCAGACAAGGGGCCAAACCTGTAACGTGCAGAGCCAGGCACGGGCAGGTCTTTCACTCCCTTTTTTTTTCCTCTGATTAACTTTTTAAAGCAGTATAGCTTAGAAGGGATAGTGGACACAATACGCAATTGTCACTTAAACTGCATATAAACCTAGTTATTTCAATTACAGTATTGGTTTCATGAGCACTGATCAGTTCAAAAGGATAAAATCTATATAATTACAGATTAGCCACACCATAGTAATCAATTAGAGCAGGAAGCTGTAAAACCACAAAACCTGGAATGAGATTCAGGAGCACGTTTGATCCCTTACATTTAAACAGGTTCTTCTAATATTTCAGACAAGTTCTATCAGATAAAAATATTTCTGCGCAACTGCACAAGACCTGCTGCCAAATCTGTGCAATTGTATCTACTATATGTACTTAAGCAATTACACAATAACAATAACAAAAAAAATCATACCAGGAAACAGGAAGGTAATGCACCAAGTGAAGGGTAAACACCTTGGATCGGACTGAACTAACTGCTGGTCAGCATTCAACACACAAATCATTTCAAATCAAGAAACTGGCTATACAAATACTAAATTTTCTCTATTTAGGAAGTCTTTTTAAAGAAATTAAGTAATACTCCAAGCAAATACTCAAAGCACTTTGCAACTCTAGGGGATTACTTAAAAGTCACAGCAGAGATGGCACATGGTCACCTCATTCCACTGGGTGACACTTTTAAATTACTTGCAGCAAAATTTGCAGGTTATTCTGCTGTGAAATGCAACATAGTTTAGGAAACTACAAGGCATTTGTACATACACAAGCTTAGCCAGGGTAAACAACAACAAAAAGTTTGTTTGGTTACCCATAGTTGACCTCAGGGTCACATTTGACAAAGGAGAGAAAACTAATGTTAGTATAAATATGTATTGCTGGAAATTACCTCCTGGTGGAAAATTAATATCTCCTTGCTGTTTTAGTTCCATTTCAATACTAATTATAATCACTATTTGGAAACCAATTTCAGGAGGATAAGCTTTGAATAACTATGAAATCTATTTAAAATCCACCAGATGGATGATTAGGGTTTTGAGCAACAAGTAGGATTTGCGTTTCTTTAACTTCCAGATGACCAAATCTTAGAGGTGTAAAAGCTATCAGTCAAACAGGAAATACCTTGTAAGAAAGGGCTTCAGGCTAAACTATATAAATAGTCCATTATCAGCACAGCTTGCAAAAATAAAAGTAGTCTGTGAACACAATTACTCTTAACAATAAAACACAAACCGTAATAAACCCCAAACCCTAAAATAGGACAAAATGATGATTTTGCCTCTGTTTTCAGAAAGGAGACTGACAAACACCTCAGTATTTACAGGGAAACACTGAATATATAGATACTTCATCAAATGTGCAATACAAAACAAGGGAAAAATAATGATCCAGACTAGTTAGAATGCAAGACTTCAGAAAATATTTTGAAGGAAATATAGACGTGGAGGTAAATGGGATAAAATACAAGAGAACTGCTAAAAAGAGAGGCTAAATAACTTGGCTTCATATTATACCCAGATGGAAAATTATTTAAATGAGAAAAGTAGTAGCATAGGACAGGCAAAAGATAAAGCAAAAAAGCCACAGGTCGTGTTGAAAGGATATCCATTTAAGAGATTTGTCTTTAATTCTATTTATTATATTCTTTAATAACTCAGCAAAAGCAGTAAAAGCATAGTGATAATTTAGTCCTGTGTCATCAGCTAGCTCCATAATAGAAAGAGGAAAGAGAAGCTGTCACACCCGACTTGCACTCAAAGCTGACAGAAAGACACCAACTCTCATAACTTGAGGTAAACATCAGAAGGGAACTCTGTCTTGAATACCCGCTGTTCCATCCTGTTCAGAAAAACATCAGCTAAGAGCGAGTTACGAATGCATTAGTAGCTGCTGAAACTCAGATGACTGATGAGGACAGTGAGGCTCTGGAACAGCTTTAAATCAAAAGTAGCAGAAGGAAAAACCGACCACGTGTGAAGGCAGAGGTTGAGCGTTTTAGAAGTCAGTTAACACATGATTTGCAAATAGCATGGGATTGGACTTGATGAACCAGAAAGATCCTTTAAAATCCTACGTTCTTGAAGAAAAAACAAAACACAACAAACCAAAACCACAACCAAACCACATCTGAATTTATAAAAATGGGTTTCCTTCAGCAACAGTCAAATACTACTTTTGACAGACAACACTCAAGAAGCACCGACCCAACAGAACCCAGTTATTCCAGTCAATAGTTACATTACAACCAACCAGCCCTGGGAAGCTGACAAACACATGGCTGGGGAACACGACAAACTGAAGCAGCAAACTGCTGTGGAGCCCAGATTTACATGCCTCTCCAAATAATAGGAAATAACTGAGCTCACATATAACAGGTCATCAGTGCATGGAAAAAAAATAAAACTAAGTCAGACCCAAGATCCTCACACATGTAATGTTAAAAATGCAATCCCTTAAAAACAGAGGGAAAGGATTTTTTGGGTTTAGGGTTTTTCTGGCCCTTCTCCACTGGCCTTCTATTAAACTTCTGCCAGAATACTGACAACTAGCCCAGAAAAAACAGGAAATCCTTCAAAAGGGCCAAAAATTTCACTTCAATAGAAATTTAGACATCCTTTCAAGCCAAAGTCTAGTAACTATTCCTGTTGCTGAGACAAAAACTCCCCTAGTTTTGTCGGGGGAGAGAAGAATTAAGGAACAATTTGGAAAATATCCTTGACTGATAACAGTTGGGTTTTACGGCACATCCCCAGCCTATAAAGAACACCTAGAAATACAATACAGAAGATTCAAAACAGCTGCAATCCAAAGTCTCCAAGGTAAACGAATCTCTAACTAGTTTCTACAAATACATTTTTCCTGCCATTATCACTCTTGCCAGAGTGCTGACTTTGCCACTGAAGCCTTCTCCTTTAGTCTTCGTAGTCCCTCAGTAGATGTGGAAAGCTTAAAAAAAGGCAAGACTTACCTTGGGATTTAGTTCAGTAGCCACATTCAATTTTCTGAATAGCACTAAATACACACGCCGGTAACATCACATTATTTGGGCACTGCTCAAGCCAAGTAATATTTAACAAACAAATCCAGACCTCTTCACTGTAAATACTGGTTTACATACCTGTGATGTTTGGCCCTGTAACTTTGCAAGCTGAGTTGTTCGCATGTTTAAGGACTGGCTCCTTGTAACTGTTGCTCCAGAAGATTTCCCATTAACTTTTCTTTCCAGGTGACAGGTTACTAAGAGCTTTTCTTCTAATAGCACAGCATCCCATGGATCTTCAGCAGTCAGACCTGAAGCTCTCTCTCCATCATTCTCTGCCTTACCTGAAGTCTCCACACTATCCACTTTTGGTTTACTGAGGGGATCCAAATCTAACCAGTCAAATTTACTAACATCCCTGCAGCTTTCTGAGGCCGGTAGGTTAGAAACTGCAGACTTTATAGCAGTCATTTCTAAGTCCGTGCTTGACTTCCCATTCTTCAGAAATTCGGAGGTGCTCGCAATTTTGTCAAATACTTTTGCCATTTCTGGTGTAAGTACTGGAGGATATATAGGTAGGCTTCCTCGAGGATGGAAAGGTGTAGTAGCTGCCAGTGGGTATGAAATGTATTGCGACTGTCTCGGAGGACCAAGGTAAATATGTTCTCTCGAGTGACAGGAGGACATAGTTGGATGGAATCCATTCTGAAATACCCCAGTCTGCTTTGTGTAAGAAGCCGAGGGATAAAGAGGTAAAGTGCAGGCCACAGGGGCTGTTATCCCAGGCGTCCACTGCCTTCTCTGACCTGTAGGCCCGAGATAAAACTGTGAAGACAGAGATGGGCTCAAAAGAGGACTTACTGGTAATGTAGGTACTTTGTTAGTTTCAAAACTGTCATCCAGCAGCAGTTTCTCTAGTTCGGCATGAGTAAGCTTCTCTATGTTAATGGTACTTAGTTTATCTTCCATGCTCTTGGCATCAGACTCTGGAAACACCATGAGATCATGGTCCTGTTTGTTATGAGTCTGTGCTTTTTGTCTGGTGCTGCTTAAAGAATGAAAAGTCTGTCTATTACCAGCTACACCTCTCTCTTTCTGCATCTTAGCTAATGCCTCCACTTCCATCTGCAATGCCTCCTCTTTGTCCACATCTTTTGACCTTGCAGCTGCCAAAGAAGGTGATGAGCGCTGTTTAAATCCATTGCTACTGGATATCTGGGCCATACCGCAAGAGCAAATGTCCATTTAAAGAAGCAACACTTCCCTTGTCCTGGTTGTCTGCCCTTGGCTTCAGAATAGATTTAGCAGATCTGAAAAGAAAATGAAACATTAGAAACACACAAAAAAAATCATACATAGAGAACTACTAAGTCATACATCATCTACTGAGAAGGTTGGACCTGGCCTTCAGAAACCCGGGATATCAAACATTTAAAGAGACTGATTTGGGGTGATGAGGGATCAAATTTAAGAAAAGCAGCCGCACAATGGTCACAGCCTTTGAATTACACAAGACCCGTTTATTTTTCTTACTAATACTTACCAGTACGTAAATTACTTGGTTCATTTTTGCACCACTAAACCTGACACAGAAAAGCTACATTCAGGTACCTAACTGTTTTCAGATTTGAGCAAGTCTGCACACTTAGCCAGGTTCATTCTCAGAAGCAGAAATCATTCTAAAGACTATATAAATATCCAGCATTACAGAGAGGACTCCCAGTTTACTTCCATATATTACAAAAATGATAGACCTATCAAACCACTGTACTATGATTATGATAGTCATAATGATGCTGAAAGAACTCCCTTTGAAAAATATCATTATACTTTACCCTCCTAAAAAGAGAAATAACACTTAAAAAATGCTCCTTCTTGGACAAGCGAAGTAAGTGATTTAAGTACAGCTGCTCATTAAATAATCCCTTAAAGGAAGTGTCGTTCCCTATGAGGTAAAGGAAGGAACTCCAAAAGGTCACTTCTGCTGTCACCACCAAGAAAATGGTATCTTGCATTTCTCCAATTCCAATCAGTACTATTATACAACCTCCTGTATTCACCACTACATCTATGCCTCTTTATTGAAATCTTACAGGAGATTACAGCATAAACTCTGTTATTTTTCAATATTTATTCTACAGCTTTTACACACAGCCAGGTTAGAGGTGAGCCCAGGAGATAAGACGCCTTCCAACAACAGCTAGTATGCATATCAAGTAGCAAGATAAAAAACACGAATAACAAGTTTCTGCTAGAAGGGTTACATAAGCAGCAAACCTCATTAAAACACAGTTTCATTGAACTAGATGAGCCCTTCACGTGTAAATCATCATGTGTTTAAATCATGCAACAACCCACAAACCAGAAGAGTTCTCTGCAGCAAATCACATAAATAACTCAGAAGTCCCCTTTACATTTCCTCACCATTCACGGCCATTACAAGGGGGGCTTGTTTTGGTTTTTTTTTTTCCTCTCCTTGCATCAGACCAGGGATATGTGCTTTAAACAAAGTGACTGTACTTTTGTAGACTTGCCACATAGACAGCAAGATTCCTAACAGATTTCTAAGAGATTCTTTAAATTCTTTAAGACTCTGGCCAAGCTTTTGTTTTATCTACTTTACTTCGGGGCTTATACTGTGAAGGAGAAATAGCTTTATAGGAGGTTCTATACGTTTCAGCTAAAACTGAAAACATAAACGCGGGTGAAACTCTTCACAAAGCAAGACTGAACCAGAACTGATTGTAGAGGTACCACGACAAGATTTAAATGAAAGAGGGTGTCTTGAAAAAGACTGAAACAAAACAGTGACAGACAAAGTTATAAAACTGAAAACCACATAACTAAAGTCCCGGTGAAAGAAGTCTTAAGGAAGAGCTTTGGAGGTTACCAGCATGTATCCACTCCACAAGATAATTATATTTAACACAGATGAAGTCTACAGAAAAAACGCGAACTCCAGATCCTTTTTCCATGCTACGCATTAAGCTGCAAACTTTGACGTTCATTAAAGCCACAACTATTACCACGAAGAAGCAGCCCTGTCCCAACTACTGCCTCCTTGAACAGCTGAGTGTTGAACTCAATCAGGGAACAGATTTAAAAAACCCCAAACCCAAACCCCGAACACTTTTGCCGAGTTCCTTTACAGACAGTGGAGGCTCCTGGTCCCATTCACAGCACAGGCCTGGCCTTCAGCGCCATCTGGTTATTTCCTATCCTCCTGTTTGCAGGACAGGCATTCGAAACCTTCTCCTGCAGGGGTACTGGATTTCTGTAGATGCTCTAAGCCTCCTAAGCCACAGGTAACATCTTAATGAGAAGTCTAATATACTTTACACAAACTGCTCAGACTGGCTAGACATCCAAGCAGGCTTTAATCTCTTTATTAACTTATGGCTGGTTAAAACGGCTATGTTGAATTTTCAGGTACTTTCTGAGACTGTTCAGATCTGTTTGGACTACAACTTTGAAGATTATCAGTGTGTCCTGGTACTGCCTGATAGTTACAGCAGCAAGCGATTTGTTAAGGAAAAAAACCACAACATTATATGGTCTTGAAAGTAACCTTCCCTTAAAAAGCAGGAAGCCTTCTTTTTCTGCCTAAAATTAACAGCTTCGATCTTCATACTCGCCAAGCAGTCTCCTACTCACAAGAAGTCACTGTTCCACAGTCACGACTGCAGATAAACACCCATTCCTTAGCACTCACAAACCTGGCACACAGCTACTGCAGCACATTCCCTCGCAACACCCAGAGAACCCAACCACTCAACAATCGGTTATTTTACAATTCCACATCACAGTGCTGCCTTCTTGTCAGTGTGTGATTGCACCGTGCACTAACAAATCCAGTGACCTCCTGTACTCAAGTTTGAAGATTATTATTATTAATGGTTATCTGAAAAGTAAGATTTTGTATTTACTTCTGCAGGAAAGTCTCATCAGCATACACAATTTGATCACTGTCTTTAAGTCTCATCACTGCAAGACTTCTAAAGTCAAATCAACGTGTTAAGTTTCTGCAAAATTTTCTACGCAGACTGCAGTTTTCAAACAGTTTGAAGTTAAAACCTGATTAAAACATCTGCTAAAATTGCAATAGTTTTAGTGAAACTTTACCCTGCATGCCATTTTTAAGCGGTAAATCCAGGTGATAAAAACAGCAGGAAAAAAAGCTCACTAAGCACAAGCACGATTAAAATTAAGGTAGACCTTTTAAATACTAATCGCATTGCATCAGTTAACATTTTCACCTCAGTTTAGCTTCACTTTGAACTTGTGACTTTGTAGCCATCTAAGTTCAAAGACAGAGAGTGGAGCAGAATTTAAAACTTGTCCTACACTGACAAAGAGAAAGGCAGATGCCAGTTGTAGCGTCTGTCAGCAGGGAACTCCTCTCTGACACTCAGAAGAATGTTTTCAATCCAAATCCCAGGAACAGGAAAACCAGGCACCTGAACCATTACTGACCACACCGCAGGAATCCACGAGAAGGGTGGAACATCTCGAGTTATCAGAAGACCTGAAGTAATCCGCAGAGTCAGGACTGTTCTCATTTCAACTGCTGTGTGCTATTTTAAGTAACAGTAATAATTAGTTTTCAGCTGTCAATCTGTTCACCTTCAAGGGCACAAATCTCTTTCCAAACACTTAAAAGAATGGGGTAAAATGTTTTTTTTCTCTTTTTTTTTAAAATGGAAAACTAGAAGCAACTGAAGGGATTTTAAGGGAAATTTGAAAGTGATAAAACAACCTCCTACACCACTTATTTCTCCCCTAAATTTGAAATTAAACTGACACATCCATACTTTTTACAAAGTCAAGAACCAAGAAATGGTAAGATACCTGACCATCTCCTTCAGAACAAAGCCTCTACATGGAACGGAAATTAATTTCAATCAAGATTTTCACTTAGAGGTTTACCTTTTTTTTAAAAAAAAAAGTATTTAAATGTGCACTAATCTAGCTAATACATAAAACTGATCTACAAAAAAAATCTTTTTCTAATAAGGAATTTATAGGTTTTTGGTAAGAAACTTCAGGAGAATCAATACAATATATGTACTGTATCTCTACCAGGACAAAGACTCCCAAAATCTAAATTAGTTTCCTATCTTAATAAGCAAGGGATGTCTTTATTAAAGATAAATCCTCTTACCTTAAGCAGAGGTAATCTCACCATCTGCTCATGTACATGCTAACATTCTGAGTTGCACAATTTTCTTCTTAAAAAAATCTAAGTCTTTTAATATTCTATTTATAAATTGTTCTAGTACTAAACAAGCACAGAACATATTATTTTGCAATTCCTTCTAAGAAATACTTTATAGTTATCAGAAATCAGTGTGCATAAATTCCCGAGAGTCCAAGCACTAAATACAGAAGCGATGATAACAAGTCAGGCCATTTCCTCCATTCCTTATAAAGTAATGCCCGGACACACAGTAGCCAGAGCTTCCTCAAAACAAGCGTAATTTTCACAATAACTCTGTAGTTATTTCAGCACTAACTAAAAAATTTGAGGCATCTGCCTAACACTGAATGTTAGCTAACTTAAGAGTTAAAAGATCTTGCCTGCATACAGTAGCAGGGTCATGGGATACCAGGGAAAACTTAGCAAAACAAGACAGCACCGATATACTACAGAAAGTACTAATCATCTGGAAAGGAATTCATAGCGAGACATTTACCATAGCAGGAAAATTTTTTAGTAAGGAAAAAAAAAAAAAAAAGCTTTGATGTTCATAAGCCCTCTCAGCCAGATGCATTCAGAACGGTACAAACCAAGAAACTCCTAAAAAGATAGTTCAAGAAGTCACGTCATGAGTAAGTCTGTTATTTTTTAAAATATGTTGAGTCGGAAGTTTTACAATAATGTGTATGTAAGTAGTCCTGAAAGGTCAGTGGTTCTGTCATGCTATCTTTCCATTAAAAACTCAGCAGCTTCTTTAATCCAGTCATCTTAGCAAAATTAGAAAGAGCTCCCTTACAGAGGAGATTAACACAGTTACCTGAAAGACTGAATCCCTTTGTTTCGGGTCATGTCTGCAAAGACAATTTCATTAGCTTAAACACAGGTGCAGTTTTTAACTGGGCACAAACTCTGGACCAGCACTCACTCGTGTTTTGTTCAAATCATTCAGCTCAAACACCTAAGCAGCTGTACTGAGACCAGCAACTGCATCTCCTAACTTTGATTTTGATATTTCATTTACATCTAAAAAGTACAATGTCATCATAACACCTCTGATCTTGAGAGCCAGGTAAGAACAGGGTGTTTCCAGTACCAGTCCAGGAAGCC